AACTAGCCAAACTGACCAAGAAAAAGAGAGACTTAAATCAGAATTAGAATGAAAGAGTAGACATTACTACCAACCTTCCAGAAATAAAAATGATTACAGAGAATACTGTGAACAATGGTACACCAACAAATTAGATAACCCAGATGAAATGGCAAATTCCCAGAAATATACAAACTACCAAAACTGATGCAAGAAAAAATACACAATCTGAATAGACCTGTAACATGTGACGAGATTGAATCTTTAGTCAAAAACTACCCAAAAACAAAAGGCCCAGATGTCTTCACTGCTGAATTCCATCCAACATTAAATGAAGAATTAATACTAATTTTTTACAAACTCTTCCAATAAATAGAAAAGGAGAGAATATTTCACGGCTTTTTTTTTTTTTTTTTTTTTTTTTTTTTTTTTTGAGACAGGGCCTCACTCTGTTGCCCAGGCTGGAGTGCAGTGGCAAAATCTCCATTCACTGCAACCTCTGCCTCCTGGGTTCAAGTGATTCTTGTGCCTCAGCCTCCCAAGCAGCTGGGATTACAGGTGTGCACCACCATCCCTAGCTAATTTGTTTTTGTATTTTTAGTAGAGATGGGGTTTCACCATGTTGGCCAGGCTGGTCTTAAACTCCTGGCCTCAAGCAATCAGGGAGGCCCTCCTCAGCCTCCCTGAGTGCTGAGATTACAGGCATGAGCCACCATGCCCCACCCACATCTCATTTTATGAGGCCAGTAAAATGACCCTGATGGCAAAATCAGACAGTGACATCATAAGAAAAAATTATAGAGCAATATTTTTAAAGAATATGCTAGCAAAAATCTTTAATGAAAAACTATATTGACTGGGTGTGGTCGATCTCGCCTGTAATCCCAGCATTTTTGGAGGCTGAGGTCAGTGGATTGTTTGAGCCAGGAGTTTGAGACCAGTGTGGGCAACGTGGCAAAACTGTGTCTCTACAAGAAATATAAGTTAGCCAGGTAGACTGGGCACAGTGGCTGAGGGCTGTAATCCCAGCACTTTGGGAGGCTGAGGCAGGTGGATCACCTGAAGTGAGGAGTTTGAGACCAGCCTGACCGACATGGTGAAACCCTGTCTCTACTAAAAATTCAAAAAGTAGCCGGGCATGGTGGTAAGTGCCTGTAATCCCAGCTATTTGGGACACTGAGGCAGGAGAATCACCTGATCCCAGGAGGCAGAGGTTACTATGAGCCGAGATCATGCCACTGCACTCCAGCCTGAACTATAAAGTGAGACTCTGCCTCAAAAAAATAAAAGTTAGCCAGGCATGGTGGCTCATGCCTGTAGTCTCAGCTACCTGGGAAGCTGAGTTGGGAGGATTGCTTGAGCTCAGGAGGTTGAGGATGCAGTGAACCATGATTGAGCCATTGCACTCCAACCTGGGTGACTGAGTGAGACTCTATAAAAAAAAAAAAAAAAAAAAAAACCTCAAAAACAAAGATGCTATTTTGATTTATTTACAGTGTTTGAGTATATTGCTTTGTATAGTTTTCTTAGATGTTGTTGTAGGTATTACAATATATGTATATAACCTATCCCAGTCTAATATATAACCTATCCAGTGTTTTACCAAGTTGAGTGAAGTGTGGAAACTTTTTTTCCATGTAGGTCTCTTTGTCCTCCTCACTTTTTAAATATAACTGTCTTAAGTATTTCCTCTACATGACGCTACTTCATTTTGGTGGTACTGGAAGTGTATATGCTTGTCTTTTATCTGTCAACCTTACTAAATTATTAATTCTTGTAATTCTTCCTTGGGTTGTCTTGAATTGCTATATATAGTCATATCTTCCACAAAATGACATTTTTTTCCCTCCCTTTCTTATGTCTATACCTTTTATTTTTCTCACTACAAGCAGGAAAAAATTGAGTATGGTTTTCTGTATTTAATATCAATAATAAATGTGTGTATATTTTTTCACTTTTCTTATATAAAATGAGATATTTACATTTTTTCTCCTTCCCTGCTTCTTAGTTTTTGTGATATAATCCAGGTGTGTTATGTCTCCATTTTTAATCTGACCATAATTTTCATTTTTTATATGATTTTCTTTTTTTGGAGACAGGGACCTCTCCCTGTCATCCAGGCTGGAGTGCAGTAGCACAGTCATGGCTCACTGCAGTCTCAACCTCGTGGGCTCAAGTGATCCTCCTACTTCAGCCTCCTAAGTAGCTGGAACTACAGGCATGTGCCACCACACCCAGCTAAATTTTTTTTAAATGGAGACAGCATCTCACTATGTTGCCCAGGCTGGTCTCAAACACTGGACTCAAGTGACCCTCCCACCTCGGCCTTCTAAAGTGCTGGGATTATAGGCATGAGCCACCATGTCAGGCCTATTTTTTAATATGATCTATCTTTACCTACTTCTCTCACTTTATGTCCTGCTCTTCCCCTCATTCCATCTACTTTTAGCCTTAGTGGTGCTTTTGCTCTTCCTTCAACAACAAATCCAACATGCTGGATCTCAGGGCTTTGCATTTGTTGTTGCCTCTGCCTTAAATGCTTTTGCCCCTTCCCCCTGGATATTTATGTAGCTTTCTCCCTCACTTTCTAAGAGGTCTTTACTCAGATGTCACTTTCATAGTGAGATCTTCCCTGATCACCCCTCCAAAATTGTAACCTGTCCTGCCACCCATCAAATCCACCATTCTTTTTTCTATTTTTCTTTTAATAACAGCTATGAAAATATAGCATATTATTTTATCTATTAACTGGTCTAGTGTATTTCTTTTTATTAGAGTGTAAGTTCCAGGAAGGCAAGAATCTTTCTCTGTTTTGTTCACTTCTTTTACTTCCATTGCCCAGAATGGAGACTGGCACATATAGGTACTCAGTAAATAGTTATGGAAATAATTAATCTTTGTGTATTTCGTATTTTTCTTCCTCAGATTAGGGCTACTGAGCTCCAAAACTGAATTTTTTTTGAGACAGGGTCTCATTCTGTCAACCAGGCTGGAGTGCAGTGGCACGATCATGGCTCACTGCAGCCTCAACCTCCTGAGCTCAGGTGATTCTCCCACGTCAGCCTCCTGAGGAGCAGGGACTACTGGTGTGCACCACCATACCTGGCTAATTTTTGATTTTTTTTTTTTTTAATAGAGACAGGGTTTTGGAACCATGTTGGTCAGGTTAGTCTCAAACTCCTGAGCTCAAGCGATCTGCCCTCCTCAGCCTCCTAAAGTGCTAGGATTGCAGGTGTGAGCCATTGTGCCCAGCCAGCAGTGGATGTGTTTTATAGTTCTTTATACCTTTTGTATGTAACTTTTTTGTTTTAATTCTTATTTATTTGTACCAGGTAATACTTTTCATATGGTTTAAAATTCAAATGGTTTAAAAGGGTTGTGTTCCTTCCACTGTCATGTTCAAACACCCCTTCCTCTGCTCAGAAGCAGCTAGCTTTGTCAGGTTATTTACTCTCCTTTCCGGGATATTCCCATATGATTTTCTAAAAAGTTGATACCAAGTTACACTACAGGACAAAGTATTTTTACAATTATATCTGTCCAGAATAGTTTCTTGTTTTGTTTTGTTTTGTTTTGTTTTCTATGTACTGCTCAACCCTCCTTGGATAGCCAGCATCAACCATTGTTTAGAGAATGTTACTATCATACGAGCCATCAAGGGAATGCTATAATGAAATACTGTTTTGCCGTTGCCCTTGAAGTTCAAAATCTAAGTGGGATGAGAAAGTATCCACACTTAATAAGTAACAGAGGCTTTAAAAAGATCAAGATAATAATTATGAAATGTCACAAAACATTGAATAATTCATTGTTGAATGAGATATAGGTAACCATGAAAGTTAGTTTATCAAAGCAGAGAGCGAGTATCATTTATCAGTGAATGTTTCACAGAAAGAGAAGACTATGATAGCTTTGGATAGTCTGAAAAGAACGTAGAAGGAAAGAAGTATATTTTACCTTCTGTGTGTTCACCAAGGTGTGATATTGAGCAATAAGATCCTACAAGAATATATTTTTATGCCATAGGATTTGATAGGTGTATAACAAAGCCTTTGTCTTATAGAACAGAGAGTATATATATTTATAACAGAGTTGGAAGAAATGCTATAAAGAGTTACTAGGTTCAGTGAGGGTTCAGAAAGCAATCATAGGAAGTTGGGAAAACAAAATTTTTTTAGGGAAAGTCATGTTCAAAATGGAGCTTAAGGTGGGGCACAGTGGCTCATGCCTGTAATCCCAGCCCTTTGGGAGGCTGAGGCAGGCAGATGGCTTGATCCCAGGAGTTCAAGGCTAGCCTGGGCAACATGGTGAAACCCCATCCACAAAAAAAAAAAAAAAAAAAAAATTAGCTGGGTGTGGTGGTGCACACCTGTAGTGCCAGCTCCTTGGGAGGCTGAAGTGGAAGAATCATCTGAGCCCAGGAGGTGAAGGCTGTAGTGAGCCATGATTGTGCTGTTGCTCTCCAACCTGGGTGACACCATGAAATGCTGTCTTAATAAAAAAAAAAAAAGATGGAGCTTGATAGAAGAGTCGGGATTTTTAATGGGCACAGATGGAAGGATAACATGGTGGAAGGGAACTACTGCCAACCGACTGTTTTGGTGAATAAAGTTTTAGTGACACACAGCCATGCCCATTCATTTATGTATTATCTGTGCCTGCTTTCATGCTACAGTGTCAGAGTTGAAAATTTGAGACAGACTATATGGCCTGCAAAGCCTAAAATACTATCTGGCCCTTTACAGGAAGTTTGCTGAGCCCTGCAGGTAGATAGGATGTAAGTAGGAAAGCATTACTAATAAATATTGAAGAAAGGAAAATGAGATGTTTAGTAGAGTTGGGGGAGGTTCAGTAATAGAAGGGTGGTTGGTTGAAGAGGAGGTTAGTTTTAAAGAAATACGATAGGGAGACATTATAATAGAGAGGAAGTGAGGGGCCATGCCAGGCTGGACAGTAGTAGTTCAGTAAGGCACAGAGGTGATTTACTCTTAATCATGCTTTTCTAATCTTTTCCCTGCTAGCCAAGAAGGATCAAGAGGGTGGAGAAGAAAAGAAATCTGTGCAAAAGAAAAAAGTAAAAGAGTTAAAGGTGTTGGATTCAAAGACAGCCCAGAATCTCTGTGAGTATCTCTTGATCCCAACTATTTGAAATGTGAAAGAGTTCTTTTAAGAACTTTTAGTTCCCTTGAATTTGTGGTCCCTTGATAGGGAACTTTAATTTGTTGAATTCCTGCTATATGCCAAGCATTGCACAGTGAATATTCAGTATCTTATTTAATTTCTTCAGTAGCACTGCAAGATTTTTAAGTATCCAGTTTTATGTCAAGGAAACAAGCTAAGATTTTTAGGAATTTGCCTAGTCATAAAGCTAGTAAGAGAAGGTCTGGGATTTGAGCCTTTTTTTTTTTCCACTCGTTGCTGCCCATGCTGGAATGCAGTAGTGCAATCACAGCTCATTGCCACCTTGGCTTCCAGCGCTCAGCTGATTCTTCCACCCCAACCTCCCAAGTAGCTGGGACTACAGGTATGCACCACCACACCCAGCTAATTTTTTGTAGAGATGGGATTTTGCCATGTTACTCAAGCTGTTCTCAAACTCCTGGGGTCAGGTAATTCGCCTAGCCTTTCTTATTTCAAAGTCCTTACTATGTCCATTGCATTCACAGGAAGCCTACCACAGATGGTCTAGCCACTATACATTTTCTCTTTCCCACTTTTGCTTTTTTATGAAATAAGTAGAGAAGGTGTCTTGCTATGTTGCCCAGGCTGGTCTTGAATTCCTGGCCTCAAGTGCTCTCACCTCAGCCTCCTACTATGTTGGGATTACAGATATAAGCCACCATGCCCAGCTTTCACTTTCTGATAAGTAAAGGTACTAGCTTGGCTTCAATTAAATCTAAAATTACTTTGTAATTTAAAATAACTAAGGTAAATCTTGTACTTCTCGGAGTAGGATCTGTAACTCCAGAAAGGAGTTCTGTTCTGAACTTTCCACCTGCATTCATAACTGTTTGGTAGCAAAATTTCAAGTAAGAAATTCCTCTGCAAAGTTGATACAGGCAGTACTTATTTGATGATCAGGACAAATGTTAAATTTTTGTTAATTTCAATTATTCATCTACCTACTTCATACTGAGTAATATAGCCTTAAATATTTATTTGACAACTATTTCAGGATCTGCTATGTTATAGGCTCTATTAGGCACATACTAGGAATGTGTTCCAGAGATGAAAGGGCATGTTCCATAAAACCCACTCAGCATCTTGTAATGCAGTTATTTTCCGTTTTTCCAAATGAGAAAGCCAAAGTTGAAATGATGTGAAGTGCCCAGATCACACAGCCAATAAGTACACATACCCAAAAGTAAAGTCAGTGATATAATGAGAGCAGTAAGCTGTCACATCACTCTTGACTACATAATCTTAAATTATTGGCAACAACTATTACTAAATAGTGTCAGTGGTGAAGTCCTTTTATGGAGACTAAAGTAGTGTGAGTCAGTTCCTCTTCCCAAGTGTATCTCTAGGAGCATAAGTTATGAATAATTGTAGTTTTGAAAAATGATATAAGAAAGACTATGGTGTAGTACATTATGATTTCTGGTGGAATGATATTGATATGGAAAACAGAATTCAAGAAAAGAAAACTGAAAGTAGTGTGTGGTAGGATGGTCTGGAAGTAGAATTTAGTGATTCAATGATGATTAAATGACTCTCATGTGCTAATGATAGAAAGCTGAATAAGACATCGTCCCTATCTGCATGAACCGTGTGCCTGGTAAAGACAGGCAGATGATAACAGCACAGATTGATAAATGCTATGATGGAGGTTTGCTACAATGTTTATGAGAGTACTGGGAAAGGAGGCATCTAAATCAAGTGGGGGCAGTGTTGGAAGGGCAAATCCCAGAAGATATTCTAAAGAAGGTACTACTCAAAGGGAGTTGAAAGAACAATTAAGGATTTAAGGAGGCTGGGCGTGGTGGCTCATTCCTGTAATCCCAGCACTTTGGGAAGCTGAAGTGGATGATTGACTCCAAGAGTTCAAGAACAGCCTGGGCAGCAAAGCAAGACCCCTTCTCTACAAAACATAAAAAAATATTAGCTGAGCCCAGTGGCATGTGCCAGTAGTCCCAGCTACTCACGAGCTGAGGCAGAAGGATCACTTGAGCCCAGGAATTTGAGGTTGCAGTAAGCTGTGATTGTGCCACTGCACTGCAGCCTGGGCAACAGAGTAAGACCCTGTCTCAGAAAAAAGAATTAAGTGAAGGCGGGAGAGTTGGCTTGTTTCAGGAGAGGGATCAGCATGTATGAGAGCATGAGATAACATTGTGCACTTCAGGAACTGCAAGTTGTTGAATACAACTGAGTATACCTATGGAACTTATAAAGGGAATTTTAATTGGGAAAGTGAATGAGATTGTCCTGTGTAATTTTTAGGAAGGCTGCTTTGGCAGTGATTTTGAGGCTGGATTGCTAAGGTCAGGGGATACTATAGGCAGAGGTGAGTTATGTCAGAGGTGAGACATGATCAGGGACTGAAACTAAGGTGATGAGAATAAGAGAGGCAGAGGATATTAAGAAGGTGGCATTAAGCTAGGTGCAATGGCTCATGCCTGTAATCCCAGCACTTTGGGAGACCGAGGCAGGTGGATCACTTGAGGTCAGGAGTTCAAGACCCGCCTGGTCAACATGGCAAAACCCTGTCTCTACTAAAAATAGAAAAATTAGCTGGACATGGTGGAGCGTGCCTATAATCCCAGCCACTCATGGGGCTGAGGCAGGAGAATCGCTTGAACCTGGTAGGTGGAGGTTGCAGTGAGCCAAGATTGCGCCACTGCACTCCAGCCTGGGCAACAGAGGGAGACTCTGTCTCAAAAAAAAAAAATTAGCCAGATGTGGTGGCGCATGCCTATAGTCCCAGCCACTTGGGAGGCTGAGGTGGGAGGAGGATTGCTTGAGCCTGGGAGGTCCAGGCTGTAGTGAGCTATGATTGTACTACCGCACTCTAGCCTGGGCAATAGAATGAGAAAAGATAGAATTAATGGAATTTAGTGTTTGACTTGGGATAAAGGAGAAGGTGTTTCGAAGTTTAGGTCACTCTGCAGAAAGTGGTACCATTTACAGTACTGAAATAGGAAAACTCAGCAAGAACAGATTATCTTTTTGGGGAGGTGGATGTGAGTGAGAGGTAGCAGGATCATGTCTTACCTAAAGTATATACTCTTTAAGAGGCTGCCATCTTTTCATTGGCTTTGTGGCAATGGAATAAATCGTCGTGTAAGTGACAGATAATAGGCTATTTTGGATTGCTATAAAGTGAAAGAGAAACGGGTAATTTAGAGAGGAACATGGAACATAGAGTAAGATAGGAAAACCTTGTTTATGTATATATGCTGAAGGGAAAGGTGTGTGGGGCTGCCTCTTCTGTTGACACATGAGGAAAGGATGAGTACATGAGGGTATATATACTTATATACAAATCCCTATATGAGTACATGCACCAATTAGCTTACAGCAGTGTTGGCATAGTTTTCTTCCAGGCCATTCCAAAAGGCTTATCCAAGTCTTTTTTAGTCTGACTCTAACCGAGAGCCCTAGTGCTGTATTTTTAAGTAGCATAAGAGAAAGCTAAGCAAGTAATTTGACCAGTGGCTTCAATTTTTCTCAGTGAAGAGGAGCAGGGTCTTCTTGGAACAAATGGGGAGGTGGTGGGGCAGTGGGGAAAATGGGAATATGTTGGAGGACCTGCCAAGATGGGTAGGAGAAAGTACAATAGGGACACATGGAAGAGAATTGCTAACAGCGCTGAGGCCCCAGTTATCATTGGTGCTACTGCAAATTCATAGACTTCAGTCTATATCAACCCAGGTGTCAGAGTGGGGAAATGAAATGGCTCGACTGACCACGGACTGGAAGGTGAAGGAAGCAAAAGAATGGTAATAGTAGTAGCAGTAGTAGTAATACTAATGGGAATCTTAGTAGAGAGCAAATGAAGTGATGGTGTAGAGGGTCCTGATGAAATAGGAAAGGCAGAGTAGAACTGATGTATTCACAGAAAACAGAAAAGTCAGGAGACTGGAAAGAGACGTCCTAATAGGGTTGAAGAGTAAAGCAAGAGATTAGAAAGGGAGAACTGAGGGCTGGGCACAGTGGCTCACGCCTGTAATCCCAGCACTTTTGGGAGGCCAAGACAGGTATATCTCTTGAGGTCAGGAGTTCGAGACCAGCCTGGCCAACAGGGTGAAATCCCATCTGTACTAAAAATACAAAAATTCGTCAGGCGTGGTAGCACACACCTGTAATCCCAGCTACTCGGGAGGCTGAGGCAGGAGAATCACTTGAACCTGGGAGGTAGAGGTTGCAGCAAGCCAAGATCATGCCACTGCACTCCAACCTGGACAACACGAGACGATCTCAAAAAAAAAAAAAGAGGGCAGGGGGAGCTGAAAAAATAGGATGCGTTTGTTAGGGAATAGGATATGGCAGTTTAAGGTCACGGCAGCTTTGAGGATCAAGTCCTGAGACAGGGGAACTAAAGTAGAGTGGGGTGAAAGTCTTTGATGTATGTAGACTTTTTTGAGGTGGGTCTCACTTGTTGCTCAGGCTGGTGTGCAGTGGTGCAATCACAGCTCACTTCAACCACGACCTTCTGGGCTCAGGTAACCCTTCCACCTCAGCTTGCCTAACAGCTGGGACTACAGGTGCACACTACCACGCCTGGCTAGTTTTTGTATTTGGAGTTTCACCATGTTGCCTAGGCTAGTCTCAAACTCTAGAGCTCAAGTGCTCCACCCATCATGGCCTCCCAAAGTGCTAGGATTATGGGCATGAGCCACTGTGCCTGGTCTAAAAGAGCCCTGTTAAGAAGATTGCCCAGCATAGGTTTGCAGGATGGGTTGGAAATGGGAACAGACCGAGAAGAACAAGTCTTAATATTTCATTTTCTGGCAGCAATCTTTTTGGGTTCCTTCCGCATGCCCTATCAAGAGATTAAGAATGTCATCCTGGAGGTGAATGAGGCTGTTCTGACTGAGTCTATGATCCAGGTAAGGAGCAAGGTGGTTCTGCTGGAGCGGGTTCTTCTGTGTAGCTGTGCACTGGCCTCATCTCTGTGGAGATGAAGAGGATCCTCTTCTAGCATTGCTGACTTATGAATGCTGTCTTTTAGAAACTGCCTTTTCTCTGGTGGTCAGGTTATTTCTGGTATATTTTCAAAAGTCCTACCATTTCAGTGCTGCCTCTCCTCTCCCACCATGTTTCCTTCATAATGGTCCTTGGGCAGTGTGTGGGACTGATAACAGAGTAAAAATTTTGTTTAGCGTTGAGTTGTCTGCAAATCCTCCTCCAACTGAGGTGTCTCTTCTCTTTTTCAGAACCTCATTAAGCAAATGCCGGAGCCAGAGCAATTAAAAATGCTTTCTGAACTGAAGGATGAATATGATGACCTGGCTGAGTCAGAGCAGTTTGGCGTGGTGGTGAGTGAGGCCCTTCTCCGCCTCCCGTATTTCCCTCCCCTCTAGAGAGCAGCCTGGGTATTTGCTCCTTGCCTCTTGCCTGTTTTTGAACCTGTCTTAGCCTCTCTCTTCTCCCTGCTGTGGAGCTCTGATCCTCCCATAGGAGGCTTAAGCCTGTATCGTTTTCTTACTTCTCTCTCTTTTGACTGTAATGGAACTGCTTGTGTTCTCTACTAGATGGGCACGGTGCCCCGACTGCGGCCTCGCCTCAATGCCATTCTCTTCAAGCTACAATTCAGCGAGCAAGTGGAGAATATCAAGCCAGAGATTGTGTCTGTCACTGCTGCATGTGAGGAGTTACGCAAGAGTGAGAGCTTTTCCAGTCTCCTAGAGATTACCTTGCTTGTTGGAAACTACATGAATGCTGGCTCCAGAAATGCTGGTGCTTTTGGCTTCAATATCAGCTTCCTCTGTAAGGTGAGCTAGAGTAGGACAACACAAAGAAGGCTCTAGCCTCTAGGAGTTCAGTGTTGGCCGGAGGCCATCTTAGGCATGTCAGGATTTAACAGTTTCTCCTCTTGTTGTAAGCTTCGAGACACCAAGTCCACAGATCAGAAGATGACGTTGTTACACTTCTTGGCTGAGTTGTGCGAGAATGACTATCCTGATGTCCTCAAGTTTCCAGACGAGCTTGCCCATGTGGAGAAAGCCAGCCGAGGTGGGGCAGTTGGGGATGAAGTTAGAAGGTGGTTCTGAGCCCAAAAATCTCTGCATGGGGAGGGAAATAAGACACAGTCTAGATTTTAAAGCATCTTCAGTTCAGACTATTTCAAGTGGATATGGGATAGGATTTAGGCATGGTGCCTAAGCCACAAGGGAGGAGCATAGGGCTGAGGAGACATCTTTATGTGTAGAAATGGGAAGCACTCTTTCTCTTCCTAGGAGAACACCAAACACCAAATCACAGCTAGAAGGGCAGGTGTTTTTAGTCTAGGTTAACAGTTCTCCTCATTAAGAAAACAGACTAGATTAACAAAAATTAGGCCTCACTGTCCTAGAACTAGACAAAGAAAAAGCAGCATTCATTGGAAATCAGAACAGATTTCTGCCCCGCCTCTATATTTCTATGTATATCTCCTTCCTCCCAAACCCTGTTCTCTAAAATAAATGAGACCAAGATCTCAGGGGATTTCACAGATTTGTGTTAAATTAAATGAAGCCTCTCTTCTGTTCCTAGTACTGTATACCTTGTGAAGGCTGGAGGTTCAATGATCAGATAATTTATAGTCTCACTAGAAAGGTGAAAACTTATGTGATACAACTAAAGTACATAAGGGAATTAAAATTAAGTTCCTAAATGTGTGTATAGACTGCAGCTGTGCTCCAAAGGGTGAAACTAAGAGGTATCGAGGCCAGAGTTATTAGTAAGCTCTGGCTCTCTGTTTTTATGGTGGTTTTTTTTTTTTTTTTTTTAGTTTCTGCTGAAAACTTGCAAAAGAACCTAGATCAGATGAAGAAACAAATTTCTGATGTCGAACGTGATGTTCAGAATTTCCCAGCTGCCACAGATGAAAAAGACAAATTTGTTGAAAAAATGACCATATCCTCACTTGAAAGGAGGGAGTTATTCCCTAGGAAAGGAAAGAAAACTTCCTGTAGTGGGGGGAAAACAAGATAGATAGGGCAATATACAACTTTTTCTCTCTCCAAAAACGCTTTTTCATTAAATACATAGTTTTTTGGATTTGTAAGTATTTTGAAACAAGCTTTCACTGTGTCTCCAGGCTAGAGTGCAGTGGTGCTGTCATGGCTCACTGCATCCTTGACCTCCTGGGCTCAAACGATCCTTCACCCACCAGCCTCCGTGGCAGCTGGGACTACAGGCATGTGCCACCAGGCCCAGCTCAACTTTTTTTTACATTTTTTTCTTTAGAGATGGGGTCTCACTTTTGTTGTCCAGGCTGTATAGTTCTTAGAGCATTCCATTATTGTGGAGTGGAAGCAAACCATGCAGATCAACTGAAAGTCCCCCCAATTCCCCTGCATATACCCCATCTCCACTACACACACGCATGCCTCCATCTCCTTCCCTCCCCAAAGGTAACCGCCGCCACTGGACTTCATTCTGATTTGCACCTCATACATTTATTTTCAACAAAAACTGCATTGTATTGCCTTTTGCACATAATACATCTTGGCCATGTTTCCGTAGTAGTATTATTTATAAACCCCTTTTAAACTGCAGCCTTCTGTTTTATAGGTGTATAAAATAGTTCATGGTTTACTATCCCCTATTTAGGGTACCCACCTGGCTTTGATTTTTGCTATTATGAACAGTGCTGTATTGAACATCCCCATGCATGCCAGTACTCATCTTTGAGTAATTGCTTGGGCTAGGGAAGTGGGTCTGCTTCTTGGTCTTGGTCCTTTACTCCTTGGCCGTACAGCTTTGTGAAGGATGCCCAGGAACAGTATAACAAGCTGCGGATGATGCATTCTAACATGGAGACCCTCTATAAGGAGCTGGGCGAGTACTTCCTCTTTGACCCCAAGAAGTTGTCTATTGAAGAATTTTTCATGGATCTTCACAATTTTCGGAATATGTTTTTGGTGAGCAAGAGACACTTGCTGACTGAATCTTTTGTGGGCATTTCTCACTGTCCACTGGGTTCCTGTTGGCTGGTGGTAGGTGTACAATGCCCATGTGTTCCTTCCTCCCCTTCCCTGCCCCAGCAAGCAGTCAAGGAGAACCAGAAGCGGCGGGAGACAGAAGAAAAGATGAAGCGAGCAAAACTAGCCAAGGAGAAGGCAGAGAAGGAGCGGCTAGAGAAGCAGCAGAAGAGAGAGCAGCTTATAGACATGAATGCAGGTGAGGAGTGAAGAAGGGTTGATGGGTTGAGATAGGAACGTTTGGAAGACTTCTCTGCCTAGAGTCTAGAGGCCAGAGAGAATAGCTCATGTCCGAACTCACCTCCTGGCAAATGATTTTTGGCGGTCTTCTACCTCCAAGATCCTGATGCTGGACTTTAACCCAATTCAGATACATACACATTCCAACTTGCCCTGTATCATTCTCTCTCCTTTGCTGCTCTTGCATTCTCTCTCATCTCTCCTGTGATTTTAGTATTGCTGTGATACATACTCTTTTCCTTCTGCCTGTCCCAAGTTAGTTCTGGCCTGTTTTCATTCCCTTCACTAAAGCTTTTGGGTTTTTTTCTCTAAAATATTTTCCTGACATGCCTCCTATCTTTTAATTATGGCGTGTCTTCCCTTTCTGCTTATGGCACAAAGTACTATGTCCCTAGTACCTTAGCCCAGTTGTATACACAATTAGATTGTAAATGGATTGAACTTTTCGAGGGGGATGGGGAGCCGGCCACCCTCTTCTCTTTCTTCAGCAGAGTCTCTATTTCACTACTAGAGCATGTCTTTGTTGAAACATATGGTTTCAATTACTGGCCCTCTATTTCCTGTCTCTGCTTCTTTCCTGCTGCTGATTCCCTACCCCTTCGCCCCCACTGCTCTCTCTGTGGGCAGCGGAAATACAGCATATGCTGCTCACACAGCACTGAGCTGATGCCACCCTCCTCCGAACCTGAGGGGCCACGAGTCTTCTGCAAATGGTGTTCACAGAGCTGCTGAGTTTGTTAGGAATCAGTATTTTACAAAGCAGAGGCACAAGGGCTGCTCTGGTACCTCTTGACCAGGGACTTTTCTTTATACTTTTCTGGAAAGCAATTTCCTTGCCATTACCTCAGTTGTAAGCCACAACTTTGTAATGCTATTAAAGCCCACACCAAGTATTCTTCACCTTCCCCTGGGACTCCAGCATTTGTACCCGGGTACTGGCTAGGATGTAATGGGGGAAGGTGGAGTCCTGCTGACATGTGCAATGAAGGCTGCACCCGGCCAACAGGTGGCGTAATGGACCGTGCCGAGTTTCCAGGACCCAGGTCAAGAAAATGAGGGTAGAATGTAGGTCAGATGCACTGGTGATGCTCAGCCAGCAGGTGGCGCTGGGAGCAGTGAGCCCCAGCCTTGGAGCTGGCAGCCTATGCGCTTTTTGGGATTTCACAGTTTCAGATTTCACTATCCTAAGCTGTTGCCATGGAAACTGAGCCAGGCCAGAAGAAGGATTCTACATTAACTCTTTGTATTCCAGCCAGGCTGCTCCTCTTAGATGCAGAGGACTTAGACATTCAGGAAGACATAGCCACTGGAGGCAGTGCTTCAGGAAAGTGCCCTCTTGATCAGTGGTCTTTCCTCAGCCCTGCTTTGAAGTCTAACCTGTCTTCATAACGTCTTGGAGCTGGGCAGTTCTGTAATTCTGTTGCTAGATACTTTTCTGCTATTAGGGATGGGGTGGGGAGGATGGCATTGCAGAAAAATATTCCAAGGTTTGCATTGGATAATAGGCAATAAGATCTTTTGTTTTAGCCATTTGTAAGCAGATACAAGGAAACATGGGCTTGTGAGACTTAAGGTTGAGTTTTCTTTGTCTCTTCTTAGCTGCCAGCTGCTATGCGAGAGGGGAAACCAAGCAATAGCAATGCATCTAGTGTGGGGCTTGATGTTTGCCATGCTGCTCTGGCCTAAGAGTTCACATCTCCATCTTGTTCTTTATAACAGAGGGTGATGAGACAGGTGTAATGGACAGTCTTCTAGAAGCCCTGCAGTCAGGGGCAGCATTCCGACGGAAGAGAGGACCCCGTCAAGGTAAGTAAGCACATGGAGCTTATCCTGGGTATCAAAGAGGGTGAGGCCTCTCTACTCCTGCCAGAAGTTTAGGAGTTTCTAAACTGCTCCACAGAAAGACGATTAGAGCATCACTATTAGTCCCTGCATCCAGAGCGGATTATCTAGTCCTCTTCCTCCCATGTTTAGAGTAGTGAGTTAGAAAACTGGGGTTCGAGGGACTGGCAATAAATCAGTTACATTGGATTATGGCGTATTTCTCCCCATTCTTGAAGCAAATATTTGGAACAAGGGAACTGTGCTGCCGGACACAGGGATTTGAGTGGGCATTCGTGTATGAGCAAAAGTTGATCTAAATACAAAATGTATGTTAGGTATAGATTGAAATTCAAAGACAAAATAAGTCAGAGTCCTTACTCTGCGCTTCACAAGCAGAAGACATACATAGAGAGAACTAATAATAGAAAGTATAAAATTTTGTAGGGAGGTTAGGCATCATTGTTCCCAGGTAGAAAAATATAGAGGAGCATCTCGTTGAAGGATTATGCTGTGTCTGAAAACCCCCTTTTTTCTGGAGTGCAGTTCCTCTGTTGCCTTTGCCTTCCCCACATCACTCACCTGCAACCTCCTTTCACATGCTTTGGAAGATCTAAGTGGATTACACTGAGCTAGAGATTCTAAAAAGAATTACGGAGCTAGGACAGTTGATCCAGGCATTAGTATGGGGAAAGATTAATGAATGAGTTTTCCTGTGGGCAGCTTATAGTGGCCAAGAGACTAGTTCAAAAGAAGGTATAGCCAAGGCTGCCCCTCATGTAGAGTTGGCCTGCATCATTATGTCTAGCGAAGGTCTTTTGGGGCTAGGAGTGGTGGCTTCTTTCCTAATTTGAAGAGTGGGAATTACAAAAAAGGTGGCATTAAAGGTTTCTACTTCAGAGGAACTTAAATCTATGTTCCCTGTTTCCTGGCTGTTGCACTATATAGGCCCATTTGATAGTGAGTTTTACTTTGAGATTATTGTAAAGAGAGGGAGTTATACAGCTTGCTTTGGCCAGTGCTTAGCTATTAATTCAGTGGTATCTGTAGGGCCTGTAGTACGTGCCACAGCCTGGAAATGGGGACCTTAGAGCATGCCAGCCTATGTAAAGTCAGTATCCTGGCCCAACTGTTTGGATCACTGTGAGTTTCATTTGTAATGGCTGACTGCCCATTTCTACCTATACTCTGAATAACCAGAGTGATGCTCCCTTCTGAGGGTTCTCCTGTAGGACTTCAGAACCTTCCCCAAACTGAAAGCTCCCAAGTCAAAATTCTTATCCATTTTCTGGCATTCTCTGAGTACAGGCTTTATAAAGGGGAGGAGAAGTAGATATAAGAGCTGAGGACTCTCTGAACTAGAGCGTTTAGTCTTATAGATAGGTGTTTGCAAGGAGAGTACAGCTAGTCGTATTATTCCTCCTGTATTTAGTCTTTATATTTTTTACAGCATTGTTTCCTACCAGCCATATAAGGTGATGTGGCCTTAACATTAAGCATTTCTAGCCTTACAAAAGTACATTGCATCTCATTGTTTTTCTTGACCCCATCAACTAAGTGCCTTTATCAGATTTTTGGTGGGAAATTCCCTTTTAAGCCTCTTCCTGTGGAACTAGAATCTCAGATGCTTCCTGTATACAGATAGCCAGACATCAGTGGCTTCCCTCTGCTGGGGAAGCCCCGTTCTTTACTTCTTTCCATGTGGAAAATCAGAACTCACAGGTGGAGAAGGGAAGGATTTTGTTGGAACCTAACCTTCCAGCAGAGGACCTGAATTAGTCAAAGTACTCTTTCCCATGCAAGAGGGAATAGGAGGAGACTTATACTGGGAGATGTTAAACTGGAAAGTAGATGAAATGACAATTACATATCTTTTAAGTGGCTCCAGCCTATAAGCTTAACTTTCTAGGCTCTGGATTCACTAAATACATTTGAATATATCTGGGAGAATCTCAGGGGAGACATTCATAGTTTTTCAGTAACTCTTTAGACCTTGGTGCATTCACATCATGTAAAGTGATGTGATGTGGCCTTATACTAACATAAACAGGAGGATAGCCATCAGAGTAGATTACAAAGAACATAGGACTAGGTAGGGATCAAAAGACCCAAAGTCACATCTAGTTCTGATGCTGTCTGTGTTAGGCTAAGTAAGTCACTTAATGTTTCTTGGACTCAGTTCCTCAGGTATAAAATGAGTGCCGGACTAGAATGAATGGTCTCCAGGGTCCCTTCCAGCTCTAACACTTTTTTATGCAGTGCCAATACGATTAAGAGGAGAAGAGGAGAGAGAGGCTGGACTTAGATGGCCCCATTCTCTAACTACAAAGGCCCCAGTGGCTCTAGGTTTCTCTCTGTGGCCACTGGATTTGGCTGTTCCACCCCTGGCCTGGCTCCCTGACTATTCCTCCTGACTGATTGCTTTGAGCCAAAAAAACAGAGGCACTGTCAAGCATATCTGCCTCACAGCCCTCATTATTTCCAGAGAGGCAGCTGTCCCTATTCAAAGACACTAGCTTTTTACCTAGAATGTAAAGGAATGTTGAAATCTTCCGGTCTCTGGAGACCTCGGGGAGTGACCAGTATACAAAGACTCATTGAGGAGTTGGAAGAGGGGAGTTACTATCAGGGTCAGTTCATTAAAAGCAACATGTAAACTGCTGTGATCTGCAGGGTGTGGGAGAACAATGGTTTGAGTGTCAAGGGGAAGAATCCATGTGATTGTATTACGGCTACTATTTCAGGCCCATCATTGAGTCAGCTTGTGGCTTTAATGACTCAACTTTATCTCCATGTCTGAATTGTGGCCTCTTGTATACAAGCCATTTGCTCACTGGGATAAAAGCCAAGGGAAGAAAGAAATTCATCTCTTTCTTCCTTTCCTTCCCTCTACCATTTCCCAGCTTCCCTATAAGCTCCATCCATCTAATAGAACCACAGAGTTGAAAAGACCCTAAAGACTTCTAGTGATTAGTATCTAACCTGCTCATAGGGGAAAGGAATTAAAACCAGATAAGGTCTTGCCCAGGTCTACATGGCTGTCTAATGACAGAGCACTGTAGCCCACTTTTGTGACTCCCAGTCCAGGGCTATTTCCACTCAGCCTGCATGACTGGAGAGGAGATGGCAGTGACCCCTCAGTATGGGCCAGAAATATTCTTTCATACCTTCCAGCAAGGAGCATCTTGGACATGATGACATTGCTTCAGGGAGGTTCTCTGATGACCACCCGTGTTAGTCTATTTTGTGTTATTATAAAGAAATACCTCAGACTGGGTAATTTATAAAGAAGAGGGGCTTATTTGGCTGACGATTCTGCAGACTGCACAGAAAGCATGGCACCAGCATCTGATGGTGAGACCTCAAGAAGCTTCCAATCGTGGATCCATCCAAATGGGGAGCAGGTGTATCGCAAGGTGGGAGAGGAAGAAAGAGAGATGCCAGGCTCTTTTAAACAACCAGTGCTCATATGAGCTCATTACTGTGGGGGCACCAAGCCACTCATGAGGGATGCACCCCATGACCTAAGCGCCTCCCACTTGGCCCCACCTCCAACATTGTAGGTCACATTTCAACATGAGGTCTGGAAGGGTCATACATCCAAACCATATCACCTCCTATCTAGAGAAGGTTACTAAGAATATTTCCCGTACCACTACTTATTCTACCCCCACTTATGTAAAAATAGGACAGGACACATAATTAGGAGAGTTTGAGACAATAATGAGTGATTTAATGTGGCAATGATTGCCCCATCTGTCCTAGTTTCCTCTTCCCTAAGGAAGCTTATTAACGAGAACACTTCCTCTTTAGTAATAGTTCCTAGCCTATGTTTTATAAAGGTCTTTTTTCAAGTCACTAACCTTTTTAAAATTCAGCTACACTTACGTTATATGGTTGGTTTTGCTGGGTTTTTTAAATCATAACCCACCCCTAACTTCTAGGAATCTGGCCTCAGAGAGCTTTCACCAGTATCTCAAGATTGTTCCCTTTTTCCCCACGGCCTGTGGGACTATTCTTTTGGAGTTAATTATCCTCTCTGATCGCATCTAGTCAAAATATTTATTTGGTTCTGTGGCTACTTTTCAATAGTCTTTAACAAGTGAGTAAGTTAGGGGGAAGAGGGAGGTCAGTTTTTCTTGATTGTTCAACCTGCTGAGCATCATGGTGACCCAGTAGAAAGCTGGGAGACCTGCTCCGACAGGTGCTTTCTTACCTCCTGACCAGGCCGCATCACACCCTCCCTGGCATACAGGCTTTCAAGGCTTAAAAGAGAAATTTTGATCTTCTCCCTACCTACTCTCTGCTCCTAGTTCTATGAAGTTTGTAATACATCAGAGGTTTTTTGAGCCCAGAAAAGTCTAGAAACACCACTTGGTAAAGCCAGGTGTGGTGGCTCACGGCTACACAGAGTCCCATCACTTTAGGAGGCTGAGGCGGGCGGATCACAAGGTCAAGAGTTTGAGACTAGCCTGGCCAACGTGGTGAAACCCCATCCCTACTAAAAATGCAAAACTTAGCCGGGCATGGTGCCTGTAATCCCAGCTACTCAGGAGGCTGAGGCAGGAGAATCACTTGAACCCGGGAGTTGGAAGTTGCAGTGAGCTGACTTCACGCCACTGCTCTCCAGCCTGGTGATAGAGCGAGACTGAGCCTCAAAAAACAACAACAAAAAAAGAAACACCACTTGATTAGGTACAACTGGTATCTTCTTATTTTGGGGGAAGAAACCACAGAAAGAAGCAGCTTAAGACTTGCCACAGGGGAACTCCGCCTTCTCCTGTGTTGCTCAGGACAAGTGGCCCAGTGTTCCTTTTCCCAAGGTCTGGAGTCAGGAGTTATTTCAACATATGTGCACCACTAGAGTCACACACACACAGAGTTGCGGCGTCTTCTCAACTGCTGGAGACTGAATTCAAAGGAATAATAAAATGATACGAAACTACTACCCTTCTGGGCATGAGAAGTAGGGTCTAGAGTGGGAGTACTTCAGAAGAGAGTGGGAGCATTTGCAAGAGGCCTAAGGAAGATTCTGGTGGTAAGGACAGTATGAAGAATGTATACATTTAGACCATCATAGTCACACTCACGTGGTCTTCTTTTCCTCTCTTGTCAGTCACGGAGGCAATAGTTTATCTTAATAATCCAATAAGTGGTTTTGTAAAATTCCCACAGTCTTGGTCACATACCTCTGATTAGATAAGCCCTCTGGCTGTCAGTCAGGGTCTTCACTATTCTTTCTCCTCTTGGTAGACAACCTCTTGTGCCCCTGGGAAATAGAGGAGGAGGAGGAGGAGGATACCTTTAAATTGGTAACCTGTGTGCACGCTGTGTGTTCTCTGCTTGAGCTATGGGCACCCTCTTCTGGGATGAAAACAGTAGCTCTGGGTCATGACTCCACAGGGAGAGAAGGCCTGGTTAAGACTTGGGCTTTGGTGGGGTGTGGTGGCTCATGCATGTAATCCCAGAACTTTAGGAGGCCAAGGTGGGAGGATTGCTTGAGCCCAGGAGTTCAAAACCAGCCTGAGCAACATGGAGAGACCCCATCTCTGCAAAAAATACAAAAATAGCTAGATGTGGTGGTGCAGCTTGTAGTCCCAGCTACTCGAGAGGCTGAGGCTGGGTGGATTACTTGAGCCCAGGAGGTTGAGGCTACAGTGAGCTGTGATTGCGCTGCTGCACTCCAGCCTGGGCGACAGAGTGAGATTCCATCTCAAAAAAAAAAAAGAAAAAAAGAAAAGAAAAAAGCCAGGCGCAGTGGCTTACACCTGTAATCCCAGCACTTTGGAAGGCTGAGGCAGGTTGATCACCTGAGGTCAGGAGTTCCAGACCAGTCTGGCCAACACAGTGAAACCTGTCTTTACTAAAAACACAAAAAAATTTGCTGGGCATGGTGGCATGTGCCTGTAATCCCAGATACTTGGGAGGCTGAGGCAGGAGAATCGCTTGAGCCTGGGAGGTGGAGGTTACAGTGAGCAGAGATCGTACCATTGCACTCCAGTCTGGGCAACAGAGCAAGATTCTGTCTTAAAAAAAAAAAAAAGCAGGTGGAGTAGGGGGCTACCTGATCCCGTTTGGCTTCTGCCTACCTAAGGCTTTCCGCGGGTCCAAAGAAGGCACTTTGTTCCAGTTCTACAGCTGCCCCGGTCTTGGTCTTCATTTAGGAGTGCTCAGCTCTTTTATCTGGTCCTGCTTCTTTAAGGTTCTGGTACAGCTTTCTCCACTTCAGCTTTCCCAGATCTCCAGGAAATCTTTTTTTTTTTTTTAATTGAGATACCATTTACATGCCTAAAGTTCACCATAAAATGTACAATTCAGGGGTTTTTACATTATCCACAAGATCATATAACCATTGCTACTATCTAATTCCAGAACATTTTCAACATCCCCCAAAGAAAAACTCCATAACAGCCATTAGCAGTCACTTCTGATTCTCTCCTCCCCTTGCCTCTGGCAACCAGCAGTCTGTTTTCTATCTCTGGATTTGCCTGTGCTGGACATTTCATAGAAGCTGACCCATAACATATGGCCTTTTGTGTCTGGCTTCTTTCATCCCAGACAGCTCTTTATGTATACACAGTCGCTCCTGTGCTGTTCTGGGACATGGGAGGAGGAGACATCATGAGGTGGCATGGTCCCAAGGAGCTGCCTTCCTGCTGCAGATACTGGGGCCACAGCCTGGATGCCATAAATGAATATGAGAGTCTTGGGGATGAGACCGAGCAGTCAGAGCAGAGACTCACGGATTGATTTGCTGCTGCTTTCCAATCTGTGATGACAGCCAGAACTTGACCATCCCTTAGCCACATGGGCTGAGATTTCTTTGTAGGGGTCCTCTCCTGGCCATACTTGATTCCAGTTCTCCTTCCCTGGCATAGCTTTTATTACTACCTCCCCACCCCACCCCCCACATATTCTGCACACCTTGTAGGGCCCTTGGCGTTTGTATCACAGCTGCTACCTTTGAAGAATTGGGAAAGAGCTAAGGTGTGTGGGCATCTGTTGTCAGAGGAACACGTGGGAGTGCGATGCCAGTACGTGGCTGCTGTTCCTCTTTGCGGGAGTCCCTCCAGCCACCTACTGAAGGCCGCCTTTTGCTAGGGACAACCCCTCCCCGGGCTGACTGAAAAGCGTTTTGGTCTAGAAGTTTCCTGGGACCTGTCAAGAAAGCAAAAGTAATATTGTGTACTAAGCTTGAGCCTATTTAATTCCAACATCCCTATGAGGAGAAAAGACTTGGAGTACTTCCTCTCTCCCTAAGTCACATGGCTAACACTTCAACCCAGTTCTGTCTGTCTAGCTCTGTTCAAATTTTTGTGCTGTTTGTACACAGAGAAGCAAGGGGGAGAGGCTTGCTCTCCTGTTGCACCACACTCTCTTATATTCTTTGCCACCCAAAAGTATATTCCACATGCTGGATCTTTGCCCCTCTTTCTTCAAAGTAAAGGCCTCTGTGAACTGGGCAAGGTAGCCCATCTGCATGGCTTACAGCTGATTATTGCTGTAGAGTTTGAAAGAAATTAGAAACGAGGCCTTCCATGGACAGAGTCTCTCGTGTCTTCTCTTGCAGCCAACAGGAAGGCCGGGTGTGCAGTCACATCTGTGCTAGCTTCGGAGCTGACCAAGGACGATGCCATGACCTCTGTTCCAGCCAAGGTGCACAAGAAGAGTGAGGCAGTCCCTACAATCCTTGAGGAAGCCATGGAGTTGGTTGGCCGTGCAAGCTAATACGAGTCCTGTGACCGTGGCAGCTCCTCAGTGGAGCCCCAGACTGTCCTGTCCTGCAGCATGTGCCTAAAGGCTCAAGGGGATATTCCTCTGGGGCGGCCACTTCCACCACCCTGACCCTGTCTTTCTCTCTGGCCTGCTGCTCTCTGAACATCACATACAGCTTCAGCTTGCCTGGAGGCCAGAAGGAAAGGGCAGTGTGGGGGAGGCCTGAGACCAACCCAGCCAGCCCTAGCTGTTGTATTACCAAAGCAGGGTCCGTGTTTGCTGCCTTAACCCTGTCTCCTGTCTAATACTCAGAGGGCCTCATCTCAGAAAAGGCCCAGCCTGCTTTTTTTCAGCCCTGACTTTCTAATGGGCTTTCTCCCTAGGTCAATCTTGCTGGGTTTGTGCTTTTCTTTTGTGGTTTCTCTGGCCCTGAGAACAGCATGGGGCTTGTAAACCTTTGGGCTAGATCCTGCCTTTCACTGCTGTCGTCTCTGCTCTTCCCTCTCCTGGCTGTGGTTATTTATTATTAGTGGTGTGGTGCTGGGAGATGCTCCTAAGGAAGCAGGGAGCAAATCCCACCTTTACCCCACCTTCCTGGGAAAGGCCTTCAAAACAAAGGATCAGGACCACTTTCCCTGTTGTTCTGTGGCCCAGGCTAGAGCCTGTGGGCAGGCAGGCAGGCAGGCAGGCAGGGCATAGCGACAGTGTGGGACCTGCCCCAAGCATCTGCCACACTTTATGCCCTTGCCTCTCTGGACCCTCTGCACCAACCCCAGGCTACTGAGCCACGCTCCCTCCTCATGCCTCCCCTGGAGCTTTGGTGCATCTCATCTGGACTATGGGTTGTGTTGTGACCATCCCAACCCCTCACCCTCTGTCTACAAGGAAATGGGAGGTGGAGCCTCCTGGCTGAGAAATTGTTTTGCAAATGGATCTATTTTTGTATGAAAAAAATTTTTTTAAAGAAAACTCTTCCTTCCCCCTTTCCCTTCCATAATGTAAGAAGCTTTGGTGGCAGGTTCCAGAGTTCCTGGGATTTCTCCTCACAGGCCCAATCCTGAATGTGCCCCTGGACCTTCTGGACCCTTGAGGCCAAGGCAGATCCTCTCTCCCAGAGAATCTGGGGCAGAAGGAGCTTCCCCTTCTCTGGTTGAGCTGGATCAGGCCTAAGAGTAGTGGGAGCTCTAAGACCAGAGTTTTTATCAGTGTATAAATGTATCAAGCCAAATGTGCAGATGCTAACTGAACATTCTGGGGAAGTGGGCACAAGGAATGCCTTTATACACTGCACCCCATCTCTCCTAAAAGATAAGTGGGCACACTGAACTGTTTGGTGGCTCCAGCCACAGGAAGCTCCAGTTCTCTGGCGGAGGGTGACAGTTTTGCCCTCCTTGTGCCCCTCTCAGCTTTCCATCCCCAGCTAGGAAGAAAGAATGACACTCTTGGGCTTGGCCTAGAATTAGAATTGTTAGAGCCAGAGGAAGCTTAGGAAACATGAGGGTAGCTACAGTGAGGCCTTAACTGGCAGGGGCGCTTGTGTATAAAGGGGCAACGGCAGCTCCTTTGGGCTATTCTGGGAAGACTCTGATGCAGGGCATCTGTTGCTCCCCTAGGTCACCTCCTCCTCCCTGCTCGCTGACATGTGGGGCTTTGACCCTTTCTTTTTTAATCTACTTTTGCTAAGATGCATTTAATAAAAAACATAAAAAGTGAAAAAAAGAGGGGTGGGGGACAAAATGCAAATCTATTTCCCTTGCCTCTTAGGGTTCTGGATGTCATCACCTCCAGTTTGTTGGTTTTGTTTCCAACTGTTAATAAAGCATTGAAACAGTACTGCCTTACAGCTTCCTGTGTGAGTTTCTGAGCTGTTTTCTTTTCTCTCTAGTCCAGGCTCCTCTAGTCTTTCCTGCCTCAAATCCCTGGTTGACCTGACAAATCACTATGCAAAAGCTAAAGGTGCCAGACACTTTGCGTTTGCACAGGGCTATAGATGATGAATACATGGGGGCTTCTGCCCCGCCAGAGCTCACCTCAGGGCTGTTTGCCCACAGTAGAGGAGTAGGAACCTGGTTCAGCTCCCTGACTCTTCCACATTGCTGCTACTTGGCTTGGAGCCCTTTTTTGGAACTCAGTTGTAACCCTTCATGCCACCAGATATCATACAAGGTTTCCTGGCAGTACCTGTGTCTCTTGCTAAGGGAAGCATCTGACTCCCATTTTCCCGTCCCCTCTGCTCTGTTGGTGGCCACAGACCACATTCCAGACTAGAGGGGCTAACCCTGGGGTGGAAACCTGAGTCTGTCCAGCAGAGGTTGGAAGCCCGAGGTCATGCTCCAAATGACTTGCCACTTGGAGTCATACTTGTCCGAGTGCCTTGTGACCTACACATAAAGCCTGACCAGCAATGAGCAGGCCCAGGATAGACAGGGAGGAGCCCGGAGAGGACCACAAACCCAGTCGGGCAGGCTCTGAAACTGGAAATAAAAGCCTTTTAAATAGCCCTGTAGCCTGGGCAGCTGCTTCCCCAGTATGACCTGAGGTGTGGGGATGGGCTGCCTACCGCCTCCTTCCTGTCCCCCTGAGGCCACGCGTTTCTGGTTCAGAGCTTTATAGGCACACATACCAATTAGGGGACCAACCACAGCTGCTCACGCGCTCTGCCAGTCTGCTGGCTGTGCCTGGAATAGAACCCAGGCGCCCAGCACCGCGCCCCTCCTCGGCCTGGCTTTGAGAAACAAAACCCTGCTGCCATCTCAGCAACCGTGCACACCACCCTTCCTCCCACGCTAGAAAGTCGCCCCCAGATTCTTCAGTTGGAAGGTTTGGTTTCCATGACAACAGACTTGAGCTGGCAGAATGGGTGACCTGTCTCTGGGAGGCTCCGCGGCGCAGAGGAAGCCGCATACCCTCGCTGACCGGCCAGATAAACCCAGTGGCTCTGTCTTTGCTTTCTTGGGTCCTTCCGGGTAATCCACCCCGTTTAAGTCCCCCCTCCACTCCCAGCTGCAGCAACCTCGGAATCCCACAGTGCTTCGAAGAGGCAGGCGGAGGGGGCGGGGAGATGGGAGGGCAGGCGAGTGAGTGGAAAAGCACTGAGAGGAAGGAGGGGCGCTGAGTCTGCCGGCGATCTCAGTCCTGCACACTGTTTCAGTCCCCTTGACCCCCGCAAGAAAAGGATGAGCCCTCAAATTTCTTATCGCTGCGGAGAAGTCAGGGGGAAGACGAAGTCCAGATGGGGAAACTGAGGCTCGAGTTTCAGACTTGGCTTTCGAAGAATCGCCTCCCGCATTCCCTCCCACTCCTGCAGCGTTCCCAAAACCCCTAGGCAGCGGGGGTGGAGATGCGGGGGCAAAGGAGAGTCTACCCTCCTCCCGCGAAGCCCTTCGGGGCGGTTCGAGGAGGTAATTTTCGTTGGGAAGGGGCTGGAATTAAGGAAACGTCCTTTGCCCCTCCCCCTCAACGCTGTTTGCCCGGCGCCAACCCGCCCCCGCTCCCGCCCGCGCCGGGGTCTCCTCTTCTGCCTGGAGACAGCCGCAAGCGTAGACTGCACACTCAGTTGCACTCTGACACGCCTCAGATCCCCACCCCCACCGCGGACCCGCAAGCCGATCACACAACGGCACACGGTTCACAGACCCACACACACAGTTACAGTCAATCGCACACTGTCTCACAGGCACAAGGGCATTGCAGGCATACGCAGCCATATTGCAGTCATACACACACACACACACACACACACACACACACACACACACACACACAGTCACACACACACGCAATTCGGAAACAGATTTAGACGCGCAATGACACAAAGTCGCCTCCCGATTCCGCCCTTCTTCCAGCACCCACCTCTCAGCTCATCACTTCATGCACATATGCCAGGAGTTTGCATCGCTTACACAGAAACGTTCAGCCTTTCAGAAGAAACCTTTTTATTATTTTTTTGTCGAAGAAAAAAAGCCATATAAATATTAGAGTATAAAACTTGCGTGAGACACAGGAAGAGGGTGGGGTGGGAGCTACGTGACTATGCGAAGAGAAGCGCTTATAGGAGGAGTGAGTACGGGGGAGGGGGTCGCCGCAGCGCGTGGACACAGCACAAAACACAACACGGGCCGCCGCGGGCAGATCAAGGACAGGCGGCTGCGCGGAGCCCGCTGCCTGCTGCCTACCCGCCATCACGTAAAAGCACACCGCACTACACTACTGGCTATTCTACACCAGCCGAAAGAGGGAGAGGGGGCTCTACACTACTGTAAGGGCAGGTCTGGGGCTCTCTGGCAGCCCCGCTGGATGGCCGGGGCCCCGGGGGCAGAAGGGGGTGGGAGAGGAAGGTCTATGCACAAGGAGGCACTGGGGAACTTTAACCAGGCTATGGCCACTAGGGGGCGCACTGGGGGCCTGGGCAGTGGCCTTCACGGAGAAGAAATGGCACCGGGTAAGGTGAAGGTCAGAGGCTTGAGGACGGCAGGGGCCCTGTAGAGAAACCCCATCCTGGACTGAGACTTTCTGTTCATTTGGTCCCTGCCCTAGCTCCCTGCCTCCTAACCCAGGGACTAAGAATGGCCTGGCCGGCCCACCCTTCCTGCTGGGGCTCCACTACCCTTCCACCAGTGGCACCTCTGGAGTACCCAGCACCCACAGAGGTCCCTCTGACCTCTCCAGGGGATCTGGTCCTAAACCTGCTTTGAGCTTTCTTAGACTGAAATGCCAGTTTAATCCATTGGTCCTGGTAGCTCAGCCCAAAGCTGGCTGCCTGGGCTGAGCCCTATATGTAGTGGGGAGGGTCCAGCCTAGTTCTTGGTTTATGGCTGGAATTTGGAGGATCTTGTCAGTCCCCTGGGGACATACAGAGCCTCCTGCAAGGCCCTTATGCCTTGATGTGTCAAGCTGTGTCCATGCCCCCACCATCCACATCCACATACTTCCCTGCTTTGTCTTACCACTCCATACTGTCTTGGAACATGCAGTAGAGTCTCTTGTTTGAGGAGGAGTGCGGGAAGTCACAGCATGCAGTGGGAATGTCAAACAATGAAAACCAAAACAAAACAGAAGACTGGTCCCCAGGGCATCGGGAAGAGGCTTGGTAGCAAAATGCCCTCCCTAAATCCAGCAAGCATCAGTACCATGGGGATGGTGACCATGTCCTCCAAAACATGAGCATTGATCTCAGGCTCTGGAAGGAGGTGAGGGGGCTGGCACCAAACCATGCTTTGGGGGAAGACTGACAATCAAAAGAGAGGCCAAGAGGTCATAATGCCTTTCCAACTCTCCAGCACGAAGAGCCTTGCAGGTTACCTGGTACCTCAACACCCCAACCACCTTACTCAAGAGAGAGGAACTGTTGGCGTGGGGTAGGGTGGGGAGGAGAGAGGCAGGGGATGGATGGGCCTGATTGATTTGGAAGATGGAAGAGTTCAGCTGTAACCAAAGGGGGTGTGGCAAATGGTTCTTGCTGTCTACACTAACCCCACTACCCCCATGGGTACAGCAATTGATTGGATGGGGGTTCCCAGCAGAACTCCCTTTGCATATTCAACCCCCTGGGGGCAAAAGGGGGTGGGTGTTGACTGGGCACTTGTTTCTGTTTCCCAAGGGGAGCATGGCCTTGGCCCCTACCAGTATTCTGGGGGTGAGCCCTGAAACTCTGAGGCCTGGGTACAGGTAAGGAGAAGCTGGGCTGGTTGGGGGGAGGCTGCCCTGTGGCTCTTGGCCTGGCCTCCACGTTACTTCTTCTCCTTCTTGCCCGACTTCTTCTTGTTGCCATTGCCACCTGCTGGGGCCTTGCCATCCCGCTTGCCAGCTGCGTTGGTCAGTGTGGCATTGCTGCCTGGGATGTAGACGTTCTGGCGGTAGTCGGGCACATGCTGCAGGGTGAACTGGGGTCCGTATCGGGCGCTCAAGCCCATGGTGCCGGCACCCCCTCCCAGGGTGGAGCTCCCATCAGCAGCTTCTGCAGAGAGAGAGGAAGATCAGGTGGGAGCTAAATCAGGGTTCTCAACAGTCACTCTCTTATACTCCCAGCAGTTAATGAATGCCTACACGGCACCCTGGGTCCTGACCATACTGAGCACTGGGAATACAGGGGTCACCAAGGTAGACTCTCTCCACAAGAGCTGAGAGTAGTGGTTAAGAGGCTCTGGAATGAAAAAGTCTAGGTTTGATTCCTAGCTCCTTTCCTTACTCACTGTGATCCTAGGCAAGTCTACCTAACCTCCCTGGGCCACCTCAGTTTTCTCATCTGCAAAATGGGGATGATAATGGTAACCACCTCTTCTGGTTTTAGGGAAGGCTAAATAAGAAACTGTATGTAAAGTACCTAGAATTGTGCTGGTGGATGAAAGTGCTCAAAACACATTCGCTAGTGTTTCTCTCAGGGCTGTGACACAGGCTGTTAGTTCCTTGCCCTGGTCCTTCTCAAGGGAGCCTCTGATTTCCCACACTAGACCACGGGCTCCTGGAGGGCAGCAGCCTTGGTTTGTACATGTCCCTAGCCTTTGTCAAGCAAGGCCTGGCAGGGAGTAGAGATTCAGTAGTTCTGTTAGTAATTGTGCAGGGTGGGGTGAGGGGCATTCTTCCAAACTTCTATTTCAAAACAGCTTTTTTTTTATTTTTGATACGAGGAGTCCCGCTCTGTCGCCCAGGCTGGAGTGCAATGGCACAATCTTGGCTCACTGCAACCTCCACCTCCCGGGTTCAAGTGATTCTCCTGCCTCAGCCTCCTGAGTAGCTGGGATTACAGGCACGCACCACAGTGCCTGGCTAATTTTTGTATTTCCAAACAGCATTTGACCGCCTACCCTGTGCCAGGCACTCTGCCAGATGCTTCACAGGCACGATCACTTTTAACCTCTGCACCACAGCCCAGCCAGGTATGTGGTATGACCCCCATTTTACAGATGAGGGAACCAAGGCTTAGAAGGACCAAGGCCATACCAGGCAGCACTTATTAGAGGGGGATTCGGGCCCAAGTGTACCTAAACGCATGCTGGAAGGGACAGTCAGTCACCACCTCTAGGAGCAGCTTGGACCTTATCCCTGCTCTGAGTGAATAGGAGGTAGACAGAAGATGGAGAAGAGTTCTGTTCTATGAAGCTGAGGAGATGATGCTCTCGGGGACTAGACATCTCAGGGACACTTTAGGCACAGGCTTAGAGTGTCACAGCTAGGTGACATCAGAGAGCACCTCTGGCCCAACATCCCACTGTATAGAAGAAGAAACTGGGGGCCAGAGAAGTCCACACTCTGGCCCTGGCTCAGCATCACCCAGGAACTTGTTTAGAATGCAGCCTCTTGGAGTTGCCAGCTGATTTGTATGCACTGTAAAGGCTGAGAAGCACTTTACTGCCTGATAAGGCCGCTGTGAGGACTAAGAGACGTGCTTCGTCCTGTGCAATACACCATCATCATCCAGCTGTCATCACCTCTACCCTTCACCTGCCCTGACTGGGTGGGGGTGGGAGAGGAGGAAACAGGAGTTTGCCTCCTTGGGGCTTGCTGCTGGAGGCCCTGAGATCCTCTGTGGCTAGGATATAGTTAAAACCTCAGGGATGCCCAGGCCAGCCCAGACCTAGCTGGCAAGAGAGCTTCCCTCCCCGCCTCCCTCTGCCCCCACCCTAGACCCTGGGAGTGGGTACAGAGAGTGACTAAAGCCGGAGAGGCTGAGTAATCCTGGGACATCAACCAGGGATTGAGAAACAGAGAGACAGGAAATATTTTCAAGCCAGCATGAGAGGGGGAGGGTACATGGGAGGAGAGAGCCGAGATGCGCTTCGGTTTTCCTCTTCCACGCAGGAGCGCTCGGGTTTCTCCAGCCTCCATTTCGTGTCGCAAATCCCCGGAGCTGAGAGCCTTCTGGGGGCGGGGGAGAGGGGTTGGGTGGGAGGGAGCAGCTGCCCACTTCCTCCTCTCCTACCCCAGCTGGCCCCCACCCCCAGCCCTTTCATTCCGCTGACATTTCTCTGTTTTCCCTAATTAACTCCAAAAGGGAGCCAGGTCCACCACCACCCCGCCCCCTCCCCTCCGGCCGTCAGCCTCTTCCAGCCTCTTCCAGCCCCTCCCAGCCGGGGAATGGAAGGGGTAGGGGAGGCGTCCAGATCTGTCTTCAAAGAGCCAGGATTCCAGAGTGATTTAGGGTCTAGATGGGAGACCTCAGAGGCGCCAGAGAAAGAGGAGGGGTGGGGGGTGGGGTAGTCTCCAAGCACACAGAAAAGAATGAGGAGTAACTCGGAGACGCAGGGAGAAGGGAGGTAGAAACAGAATGACAGGAAGGGCCTGACTTGAGTAGCTAGAAGCTCGGCCCACCCACGTCCTATGTGCACCCAATATCTCTGAGAAGCACCCCAAGTGGATGAAAATGACAAAGCCATCCCCCACCCAACTCATGGTGGGTGCCCTGAAGTCAGGCTGGCCCAGGAGGGAGAGAAGATAATCAAGATAATGGAAATCAAGAATGTAATAGAAAGAGAATATCTGCCCTGCTCTGCCACTAAGGACCTGTGTGACTTTGGTCAAGGCCCTGCACGGCGCAAGCCTGCTTCCCCATTTATGAATCTGAAGGGAAGAAGTTGGATTGCAGTTGTCCAGTTCTCCAGTGCCCCTCCCTCTACACCCCACTCCCTGAAAGGCCCACCTTGGTCAAGGGCTGGGATTTTCTCTTGGTCCAAGGAGAGGCAGACTTAGGACAGCCTCAGGAAGCTGGACATCTTCTGGCCTGGATGAGCTGGGGGTGATACCTCTTCTCCTGTGCCAGCCTCTACTCAGGGAAACTCAGCTCCCAGCTCCCTGACTTCCCTGTGTCCTCTTAACCCACCCCAGCCCAGGGCTGAGGAAGCAACTCCAGAGTAGCCCAAGGAGGCCTGATTAGCTGGAACACAGCTGGCTGAGCTGCAAACCGCAGCCTCCTTAACAGCACCTCTCGCCCCCAGATGTTTATTTTAAAAGCCTCTTCCCAAGTGTTGGTTCTTACTCTCACTCTTGCTTAACCCCCCCGTCAGCAGCCCCACAGGCTTGGCTGGGTTGGACTTCAGGAACCTCTCTAGTTTCAGGGCTAGGAAGCAGTGTGAAAGTGAGAGCAGGGCCTGACCCTCCACCTCCACCTCCCCCAGGGTCCGTTCCCCAGGGCCCAGGCTTACACGAGGGTCAGGCCCTGTGTGGGCCAAAGGAGTGAGGCCTTGACAGGGGAATGAGCTGCATGACCCGCTGGGAGGGTTTGGGGCCATAAATACTGATTTCACTTCTGTTTTTAACATCTGGATTTAGGCTAGAAAGCTGCTTCCTGGCCTCAGGGCGCAAGGCCACAACAGCTAAATATACCTGTTTATTTCCCTCAAGAGCCCAACTTGGCATCTCCTGAGACCCAGCTGCCTGCCATTTCCTACTCAGTTTCTGGCCTCTCTGGAGTCATAGCCCCGCCAGACCTGGGACAGCTCTGCCTCAGAGGCTGGCAGTCCCTGCCACCTCTCTGCATCCCTCCATCAGCCACAGCCCTGGCCCCACTTAACCTCACAGACATCTGGGGTAGGGTTGCCAGACTTAGTAAACAAAAGTACAGGGCTCCCAGTTAAATTTGAATTTCAGGTAAACAATGAGCATTTTTTTTTTTAGAACATTATGTTTCATGCAACATTTGAGACTGACTTACGCTAAAACAGTACTTGCTGTTTATCTGAAATTCAAATTTAACTGGGCATCCTGTATTTTATCTGGCAACCCTGATCTGGAAGAATAAAGCAGAGCTTGAGGAAGAGATTAGCCTCTAGTCCTGCTCAGCTAATAGGAAAGTTCAGGCTGGATCTAAAGGCAGTCGTAGTCCCTATAGCAGAAAGGGCATAAACTTGGAAGTGAGCCAGGTTAGAACCTCAGCTTGGCAGCTCAAAACTGGGGACCCTGAGGCAAGTGCCTTCTCTGTTCTCTCATCTGTCAAATGTGAGAAATCAGACCTGCCTTGAAGAGCTATTGAGAGGAGGCCCATGAAGTTTGTTTAGCATGTGCCCAGGTGTGATGACAGTGCTTCTTGTGATTTCACCTGGTTCTCTACCCACCAGTCTTCCGGTCATGCTGGAGGGCAGGGCTCTCAGTTCACAATACAGGGCAATGCCTTAATCCTCTGCCAGCCTCCCTATAAGCCCAGGATTTCCTGCTCCAGAAGCTAACCTTTATTAATAGGCATTATTCTAATTCTGCTTTTTACCCAGTAAAAAAGGGGCTTGGGTCAGCAGAGATAATAATATATTGTGCCCTTACTTTCTGCCAGTCCTGTGCTGAGGGCCTTGCATTTGGCCCTGGTAACAGCACAATGAGATCACTGTGCCCATCAATAGTAAGTGAAACTGAGGAGTTTAATAACTTCCCTAAGGACTCATTGCTAAGTGGTGGCGCCAGGATTTGAATCCAGATTGGCCTGGCCTCTAAAGCCTGTGCTCTGGAGGAGGAATGATATTCTTCTTTCCCTGCTCTGGGCCCTAGTGACTTTTCAGGGACAACCACCATTGGCTGAATCTCTGTTACAAAGGAAACTCTTAGTCAACCTTAGGGGAAAACCAGAATCCTACCCTGGAGTTAGGGGCAGCAAAAGATGAGCCTCGCATAAAGAGGAAGTTTACACACCTACTTTCATTGCTTGAGGGTTTGTAAGCACCACGCCCAGAACTCTATGGTATGGCCTTTGTGGTAACATCTCATTTAATCTCTACAACAACCTTTTGGGGTCCCTGTCTGCATTTTCTAAGCTGAGGAAACTGAAGTTTAGAGAGATTGAGCAAACTGATCCAAGTCCCAAGGATAGCAGTAGTAAGTGGCAGAGCTAGGACCCAAGCTACGCTGTCCCATTCCAGAGCCAGACTAGTAACCACTGTTCCCTCCATGAGTCTTTCCTTGTTCGCTCCCTTCTGGGTATCCCAGGACCCCCAGTCCCTCTGCTGTTCCTTAGCCACAATTCCGGGCTTTACGTTTGGAATCGTGGGTCCTCTCAGAGCTGCCGACAGATCTGGAGAAACTACACAGGTTTGATATCCAGTGTGCGGGCGTGGTGGCTGTGGGATGTACCCCAGAACCCCAGGTCTCCCACTCTCCCATGCACACTGGCACCACTTACCGCTGGCAGACGCCAGGATCATGGCTTGCAGCATCTCTGTGTCAAACTGGTTGTTGGGCCAGGTGCCGGTGTCGTCGCCATTTTGGGAGCTGGGGAGAGAGTAGGATGGTGAGCACAGGCTCCCAGGCTGGTACAGCTCATGCCCACCTGTCCTCTCCCAGGACTCCCAAACCTAGTACCCTATCCCTACCCCATGCTTCTCTCAGCAAGGTAGGAGGCACTTCTACAATCCTTCAGAAGCCAGAATCCCACAAGTCAGTCCCCCAAACCAGCTCTTTACTGTCTCTGATGCATTTTTTTCTTTTTTTGAAGTCTCGCTCTGTCATCCAAGCTAGAGTTCAGTGGCACAGACTTGGCTCACTGCAACTTCTGCGTCCTGGGTTCAAGCAATTCTCATGCCTCAGCCTCCTGAGTAGCTGGGATGACAGGCAGTTTCCACCATGCCCAGCTAATTTTTGTATTTTTAGTAGAGATGGGGTTTCACCATGTTGGCCAGGCCGGTCCAATGCACTTAACATGGTGCATTTCCCCACCCACCATGAGACAGCCTGGCTTTCTGTCACAAGGAGATCAGATCCTCTCCAGAGGACTGTGAAGGTGGGAAATGGAAGAAAATGTTCCAGAGTTAGAGAAAAAGTAGGGACCTAGGAACTACCTAGGGGGAGATTTAGGAGGCCCCAAGAGACCCTGGAGCAGGGAGAAAATAATTCTTTTCTTTTTTTGAGACAGAGTCTCGCTCTTCTTGCCCAGGATGGAGTGCAATGGCACAGTCTCGGCTCACTGCAACCTCTGCCTCCCAGGTTCAAGCGATTCTCCTGCCTCATCCTCTCGAGTAGCTGGGACTACAGGCACGTACTGCCACACCCAGCTAATTTTTGTATTTTTAGTAGAGACGAGGTTTCACCATGTTGGCCAGGATGGTCTTGATCTCCTGACCTTGTGATCCACCCACCTCGGCCTCCCAAAGTGCTGGGATTACAGACATTACCCACCATGCCTGGCAGGGAGAAGAAATTTCTAAAATTCAGTGGTTTCCTAAGCCCACAGAGTAAAATCCACAGGTATATAAGAACCTGCCCCTCCTATTTTATAAGAACTTCCCAGCCCCACTCTCAAACACTCTATCAGCAAACCTTCTCCAAGGTGCACTTTCCTATCCCACAAGTTCCCTCTTGCTGCAGATCCTGGGCAGATGGTGTTCCCTAAAATGCCAGCCTCCCAACCTTTGCCATGATGACACAAATAAAATTTATCAGAGGGGATCTCTAAATCTACCCAGACTGGGCAGGTGCCTCCCCTGTCCTCCCACCCCAGTGGCTGCCCCACGTGGCACTAGTCACACTGCAACTGCTGTCTGCTCCTCCACCACACTGACCTCTGTGAGGTGGGGACTCCACCTGCTTCCTACCGAAGCACCTAACACCAAGCCTAGCGCTTGGACCTAATTGAAACTTTTAGAAACTCTGAGTGTTAAAAAAACATGAAACGATTCATAATTTTTTTTTTGAGAGAGTCTCACTCTGTCGCCCAAGCTGAAGTGTAGTGGCATGATCTCGGCTCACTATAACCTCCTGGGTTCAAGTGATTCTTCTGCCTCAGTCTCCTGAGTAGTTGGGACTGCAAGTACACACCACTATGCCTGGCTAATTTTTGTATTTTTAGTAGAGACAGGGTTTCACCATATTAGCCAGGCTGGTTTCGATCTGCTGACCTCATGATCCACCCGCCTTGGCCTCCCAAAGTGCTAGGATTACAGGCGTGAGCCACCACGCCCGGCCTGATTCATAATTTTAAAAAATACTAAACTATAAGAAGAAACCTCTACTTCTCAGAAGGTTCAACCCTACTTGGGTATTTCCCATAGTGATAATTTCCATGTTTTTTGAATTTCCAAGGATTACGTTATTTCAATTTGCAGGAGAGTGTTGGTGGGAAACAGCCCTGGTACATACTCACAGTCTGCCCTTTAGGTAACTGTTTGGCACCATCTAGCTCAGAGAATTTTTTCAATAAATATTTTTTGCCTGCGTGAATGGGAAGAGGCTAGCAGAGACAGTTATGTGACTGTAAGGAAAGAAGAAGGGTTTGGCACCAGGGGAAGGGCCGTACATAGGATAGGCCTTGAAGGCATGAAAATGTGTGTGTGTGTGTGTGTGTGTGTGTGTGTGTGTGTGTATTTTGTCATGGTGGGTGAGCACTACCAAGAACTGCTTTACAATTTACAGGTCTGTCCCTGCTTTCAGTTTTGCCCAGTCTGGGATTCCCCATCCCTAAGTAGGTGAATTCAGCCTAAGAACAGACACAAGGCTGCCGTGCGTGACCTCTATACCCTCACGACGAACATAAAGCTAGGGTTGAAGGGGAAAGCAGGAATCTCAATTCTCCTTCCTCAAAGTGGGAAGAGTTATAATTCTGTTTCCATTGATTCAGCAATTATTTCTTGAGCAATTACTATGTACCAGACACAGAGCCAGGTGCTGGGGTAATGCCTGTGAATATGACAGAAATAGTCCATCTTTATGGTGCTCATGGTGGCACTGAGAGGCTGATATTAAATAATTATACAATACGGTAATTGCAATTGTGATACTTGCCATGGGCTGTGTCAGGGGCTACCAGAGGGTATAAAGAGAGGTGGGGGCCAGGCATGGTGGCTCACGCCTGTAATCCCAGCACTTTGGGAGGCTGAGGCGGTGGATCACCAGGTCAGGAGATCAAGACCATCCTGGCCAACGTGGTCTCTACTAAAATAAAAAAAAATTAGCTGGGCATGGAGTCATGCACCTGTAGTCCCAGCTACTCGAGAGGCTGAGGCAGGGGAATCCCTTGAACCTGGGAGGCGGAGGTTGCAGTGAGCCAAGATCGCACCACTGCACTCCAGCCTGGCGGCAGAGTGAGACTCCGTCTCAAAAAAAAAAAAAAAAAAAAAAAGAGAGAGAGAGAGGCCGGGTAAGCAGGTTGGCCAGTCTAGGCTTCCCTCAGGGAAAAGACAGTGCATTTAAATATGAAGAAACTATCCAGGTAGTTTTCAGAAGAATACCAGCAAATATATGTAGAAGAAACGATAGAAAATCACTGCTTTGATATTGCTGTTGTAGAAACAGATACAGGCAGGGATCATCAGTGAATCGTAAAATTGCATGAAGGGCTGCTGCCTATCTCAAAGTACCATCCACAGATTACTTCATCACAAATATTTTAAAATATCTTTATAAAAATAGATTTTTATAATGGAAAGATCTGGGACACTGTTTTTACCGCGTGGACAAACTCAGCACCACTCGTAGTGTGACAGGCGACGTTAGATGAGTCCCAGTGTAATGCCGCGGGAAGGATTCCTACCAAGGCGTGTAACCTGAATCTAACCATCGGAGAATAGCCAGCACATCCAGATTAGGGGACATTTTAAAGAACAACTGGCCTGGACTCTTTAGAAATATCCATCTCATTAAAAAATTATAAAGACTAAAAGCCTGCTCCAGATTAAAGGCGAGGAAAGAGGGGTGACAACCAAATGCAATTTATGCTCCTTGATGAAATCCTGTATTTAAAAAAAAAAAAAAAAAGGCCAGGCACAGTGGCTCAAGCCTGTAATCCCAGCACTTTTGGAGGCCAAGTGGGCAGGTCACAAGGTCAGGAGTTCTAGGCCAACATGGTGAAACCCCATCTCTACTAAAAATACAAAAAAATTAGCCAGGCGTGTTGGCATGTGCCTGTAATCCCAGTTACTTAGGAGGCTGAAGCAAGAGAATCGCTTGAACCCAGGAAGTGGAGGTTGCAGTGAGCCGAGATTACACCACTGCACTCCAGCCTGGGCGACAGAGCAAGACTCTGTTTCAAAAAAACAAAAACAAAAACAAACAAACAAAAAAATAAAACAGGATGAAAGAATACACTGAGGGCATTTATGAAAATCTGCTGGTGGATTTTATATTATTGTTTCAATGTTAAATTCCTCAAATGTGATCATTCCTTTGTGACTATATAGGAGAATGTTGGCCAGGTGCTGTAGCTCATGCCTGTAATCCCAACACTGGGAGGCTAAGGTGGAATGATTGCTTGAATCCAGGAGTTCAAGACCAGCCTGGGCAAAATAGTGAGACCCTGTCTCTACAAAAAAATTAAAAATTACCCAGGCGTGGTGTTGCACCCCGTAGTCCTAGCTACTCAGGGGACTGAGGTGAGATTACTTAAGCCCAGGAGGTCAAAGCCGCAGTGAGCTGAGATCACACCACCGCACTCCAGCCTGGGTGGCAGTGAGACCTCCTCCCATACATACATATATGTTATTGTTCATAGGAAACATATACTAAAGTATTTTAAATGTTACAATGTTTGCAATTCACTCTTAAATGGTTCAGGAAAAGGACTCTGTGTGTGTGTGTGTGTGCATGTGTGTGTGCGCACAGAGGGAGAGAGAGAGAAAGATAAAATGTGTGAAATATTAACAATTGATGAATCTAGGTAAAAAGAGTAAAGGGTACATATTTGGATGTTTATCATTCTATTTTTCAACTTTTCGATGAGTTTGAAACATTTCAAAGTAAAAAGTTAAGGGGTAAAATTTAGTTACCCAGGAGAAGTGCAGTGTTGTGGGAGAGGCTTTCCAGGAAGGAGTAACAGTCCCAGGCCTCTGAGGCTGGAAGGAGCTTGGTGAGTTCAAAGGACTAAGAGAAAGTCAGGTGGCTGCCACAAAGGGAGGTGGTGATTTTGGTGTCATCTCAAGAGCTCTGAGAAGCCACTGAGGTATTTGAAAAGGGGGTTGTCATGACTGGATTTAAGTATTTAAATATCACTCATGCTTCCGTGAAAGGATGAAGGGTGGGAGTTTCTGTGGGAGAATGGCAGCCTCTGTCTCCATGAATATCCAGGGTCCTTACTTCCGGCCTGACTGAGCTCTCTCTGGGCCTGGCTGAGGATGCAGGGCCAAGGCCAGGTGGTCCCAGCCCCAGGGGAAGAGGCCTAGTGGGAATGGAGTGGGGAGAGCAGGCAAACAGGAAAGGGTTCCCGGGAGGAGAGTGCGGGTGTTGTCGGGTAGACCATGGAACCAGATGCCACAGGTTAGGGGGATGCCCTGTCATGGTGGGCA